ACACTAAATAGAGTTGGGAAAAACATGTCAATGATTTATCCGCACGTTTATCTAAGAATATTTTCCTACTGCGTAATTTGGATCGTGTAGTATCTAAGCCTGTACTCATATCTGCATATTATGGTACTTTTCATGCCACCATGACTTATGCAATTTTGAACTGGGGTCATTCGTCTCACAGTGATAAAATTTTTGGTTTACAACGTAAATGTATTAGAATTATGGCTGGAATAAAATACAGAGATGATTGTCGGGAGCACTTCAAACTGCTAAATATTCTTACAATGCCATCAGTTTACATATTTGAATGTCTCATTTATATAAAAAATAATCAGAATAGATTTGTTCGACAAGAAAATTTTCATTTTCATCATACAAGAGAGCGACACAATATTAGGCCTAAATTTCATAGATTAGCGAAGTCCAGAGATGGCACAAATTATTTTTGCATTGAATTCTTTAATAGACTTCCATCTGAGATTCGATCACTAAATTCAGACTGTTTTAAGGCCAGAATTAGAAAATATCTTAAAAGAGGAAAGCGTTTTATAATTTTGATGAGTTCCTTGCTGACCAGTTTTTAGATGTTTAATGTATGTTCGTAATATTCACTTTTTTATGCTGTTTACGTTATATTTATCTGAATGTGTTTTTTTAGCTTTAGTGTAATATCGCTTATATGTTGTATCTTTCGTGTTTTTCTTTCTTTGACTTGTGTAAACATTTTAATGTATAGACACCAATAAATGATTTGATTTGATTTGATTTGATAAATAATGGAAGACGAGGCTTGATTAAATATCTCTTACAATGCAAATATATATTGTTTTATTAATTAAAATTTGTTAAGAATCCAATACAACATAATTTGTTAAGTATCATTTTTTTTGTTTAGATTTATAAAAATGCATAAAATCATTTAAATACAATTTAAAGGTACTCTAGATTTTATTCATTTAAAATTCAAAATTATCTAATTTGTGTTAAAATTGTTTTTTTATTTACAAAACATGAAAATACATATTTATAAGTTAAATAAGATAAGGCAGAAAGTTCCAAGATCCTTTCCCAATGCAGCTGACAAACATGTTTTAAATTAATCGTATTTTAGCATTCACTTATAGTATTAAGTGTGATTAGGATTAATGAAATTCAGTTTTAAAAATCTCGTTGCAAAAATATTGTGGGAATTGGAGAAATACATAATTGAACAGCGAAATAGAATAACTTCGATAACTTAGTAATAAAATCAGTTTGTCTGTATATTTTATTATTTCTATTAAAAGACACAAACTGGGATACCTGTTTTCTGAATTAGTTTGTGCAGAGAAGACTACTGAAAGAAGTTTAAACTCTCCATAATAATCTTTAGAGAAACTTGCATAGATGTATAATTTTTAAAATCAAATCAAATACTCATCTCGGAAACCATTGACTTTAGAGCCCTGGATTATTAAGACTTTTTGGCCCAAAACGATCTAAGTCCATGTGTCTAGTTATGATGTGAACTTAAAATATACTGTGTAGATAACTATGCCTTAATTCCTTTCAAATTAATGACAATTTTGTTAATCCTAAAAATTTATACTATTTATAAATATTTATTAACTTGTTTGTTTGTGTTAGAGATAATTAAAATAGAAAAATGCTATCATGAGAAATTGGGAAATAAAGTTTTCCAATCTTGGTGATACTAATGTATACTTGAAATTGTTATGTAATTCTGTTACAGTTAAAATTGTCAATAATATAAGGATGATTCATAAATGAACTGACCTAGAGCAAGTACATGTAGCAGGTTCTAAAATTGGCATTTTAATTAACTCAACTTACCTCTATACCAAGTTGTTTTGTTTAACCACTCGATGCCGTTAAAGTTGACAAAGTATTTTTTTTCAATATAAATTTAAAACACTAACCGATTTAAATGCTAGTACTTGTTTATATTTTAACATAAAGACAGGGACTCTTTTCAAGTTTTTCTCTTTTGTTCAAATTTTATATATCTAACGGTATTTGTGTAATTATTTATTTATTTTATTATCATTAAATACAAAAATGAATAGAAGCTGAGGAATTCTGTCATAAAAAATATTGGAAGTGATTATCATTTTCGGTAACATAATTCGGTGAAAAAAAAAAATTACGTTCATTTCAGGTTTTTCTCATTCTGCAATTATGTACAGTAACTTCTCATAAAATTTATCTAAATTAAAGCTCTTTAAATTAGGATAGTTACATCGATTTGAATGTAATAGCCATGGGAGCATGGGAGAATTGAGATGTTTGCTGTTATCATTCCCTTAACGTTCGATACCGAAAAAAAATGGTATGGAAGTTTTCAAAGCCATTGAAATCTATTAATAAATATGCAAATTGCCTCGTGTAAAAATATCAGATTGATTGCCAACGTAGATTTTTTGAAAAATGATTTTAAAAATTATGCTCATATACAGAGGCTCTTATGGGAGTTGGGAAAAAACATTTTAGAACAATAAACATATGCACTTACAATGTAATTATTGAGATAATTGAATGAATAGCTAACGTTATGACAAATTTGAACAAACATCTGATCCATTGAAAGGAAATATGGCAACACTGTACGCTGTATTTTTAACCCTTCGACTGACGCCCTATATTTGAATAGTTCGATTATGGACTATAAAATTATTCCAGTCGAAAACTTATGTAGTAATAATTAATATTAAATAATTTTTTCGTGATCAAATGCAATATAATAACAATTTGAAACAAAAATTGAAAGGATCTCTTTGCAACATGAATTTGACAAGACGATGTCTCACTACCATACACTGCGCTTCTTGAGAGTTATGTTATCATATGGATTCTCGGTTTGCACATTTTACTTTTTCTCATCAATCCACATTCTATTTCATATGCTATTTATATTGCTTTTCAGTCATTATTTTTCCTTTATATTTTGGATGTTCATTCATGTCTACGGTATATGCACTAAGCATAATTGACAGTTGACCCAATTTTACCACCACACCATACTGATGTGCAATGTTGCCAGATTTCACCCATAATTTTACTAGGTCTTCATAAATAGCAGGGTTCGTAGCGGCCAGGAATACCGGGAAAAGTCAGGGAATTTGTTATTCTTCATAAAAAACAGGGAATAGTCAGGGAATTTTAAAAATATTCATGAAAGTCAGGGAATTTGATGTTTGCAACTGGAAATTTTGTAAAAACCGGCCCTGGGTTATTGAAAGAGAAAACTATTTGTGGTTTTGAAATCTTTATAATAGGTTATGGTATAAAAAAGATTATGGAGTCCAGTCAGGAAAAAATTTAATGCATAAACACCAATTATTATGTAAAAATGAACCACAAGTGACCTGGATTTTTTTTTATAAGTCAGGGAAAACCTGGAAAAGTCGGGGAATTCTTTATTACGTTTGAACTATGAACCCTGAATTGACACTTTTATTCAAATAAAAAGTTAATTGCCAAGCACTAAACACGAAAAATATATTCGAGCTAATATGTGTTGTATAAATTTCATTCGCGTATATTATATTTAGTTCGCTCAAATTAGTTTATGTAAGGTTGATACTACAACGAAACTCCCGTGTATAAGCATAGGCTTCCCTCACGCACCGCCTGCCCCGCAAGATATCTATCGAACCCCCTTAAAGTGAATTAAGCGTTATTAGAAATGTTGATTATTTCCAATAATTCTCTTGAATGTAAATGTGAAATTTATACATATTTTCTTAAGGTGGAAGGTATCTTTCCCATTTCTATAAATGCAACTTCTATTACTATGTCCAAAAATGCCATCTACATGCCATCTAGTAAATCAAATTTAATTTAGAAAATGGAAAAGTCTAAAATTATTTGCCAACTTGGAAGCCATCTAGCAGCTAATCCCCGGTACTTTGAGTCTCGGTTAAGGCTCGATTAATTAATCAGGCGATGATACTATGATTATACTTATATCATTATATGTACAGTCTAATCGCCTGATCAGTTAATCAAGCTTTAACCGAGACTCAAAGTACCGAGCTTAAATATAGCTACTTGATGTAGAGGAAGTTATTCCTTCAATTATTTTAAACCAAAAAACCTTAATGAACTGGGGGTTTAAAGCCGTTGGGTTACCCAACTTGGGTATTCAGATGTCTCATAAATAACAGATTAATAGGCTAATGGGCTTGTGCTAATAATATAATTAATTAGGGTCATACATTTACTGATTTGGTATACATTGGTATCAGCGTTGCCAGATTTTTTTTCGGGCAAAGTGGAATTTTGAAACTTTTTGAATAAAAAAGCGGGATTCTTTCGTTCAAAAATGGGACATGCTACGGGTTTGTATAATTGATGCCTAAAAAAAAAGATATCTGGGAAACAAATTGTCTTCAAAAATCGATGTCATGTCTAAAAAAATAATAACAGGCAGGCGGAAAAAGCGGGACTAAGCGTGTCCCATGTGGGACATTTAATTTTGGGTTAAAAAGCGGGACGTCTGGCAACGCTGATTGGTATACACATCTTTTAAGCGTTAGTAGATGCTATCAATAATAACCCAAGAATTATGATGTTACTGAATATTATGGAAATTGTAGAATTCGACAATTTGTTATTTTTTAATTTTGATATTACCTTACCACACAGTTGATCTCCTTAAGGTATGATAGAAATTTCCTATGTATAAAATATCAGCAAGAGGTTGTTGCTTTATTATGGGAATTTGTCAAATATTTCCGATTGTTTGAAACTAGTTCAAGGTTACTATTGAAAAAGATAAATTTTGATCTTTATTTGATAAAATATATCTGATTTGCTTGTTCTATGAAGTTGTTAGAAATTTTAATCGATTTATAAAATAAAACTTTATCGGATAAATTATGATTGTAGAAAAACAGTGAGAAGATAATTAATAAAAACACTACTGTTGAAATTAATTTATGAGGAATGACCATTATTTTAAAACTAAACATATTTGCATATAAGTTTATATAAGATTTAATCCCCTGAACTAGTACTTAATATTCTGGTCCTTAATAAAATAAGGGAAATAAAATAATAGTAAAGGTGATTTCCTTGCTATATTAGCCATATTTGTAATTTGAAGGCTTGTAAAGTTTGATACATATCTATGTGAAAATTCTGATTTTAGTTCTTTAAACATCTGGTATACCTACCTAGAGATGATAATTAGATTCTTAATAAAAAATTTAAGTCTGATATATTACCTTATTCAGATTATAAGAAAGCAATATATTATTTAACGAATGAGATATCCTTATTCATTCAGAGGAATTAAAAAAAATTTCACTCAGGAGTTGGATGTTTTACTTTTGCCATAACTATTGCAAAAGCTTGTGAAAAACACTGTGATCCACAAAAAATTGGAATAGGAGAAAATTACATATAATTTTTTTTATTTCTTACATTTAATTATTTCAATTTTAATTATTGTTGTTGTTAGTTTCCACATTAGAGAAAGGATTTGTTCCATTATGAAAAATAAATACTGTGCTCTTCTATTTTCAGTGGATTAACAGCCATTTCAACATATTTCCTCACTAAAGAGTTATGGTCAGCGGGTGCGGGTCTGTTTGCTGCCTGTTTCATTGCCATCGTGCCTGGTTACATCAGTCGTTCTGTTGCGGGCAGTTATGATAATGAAGGAATTGCAATATTTGCATTACAATTCACTTATTTCTTATGGATCAAATCTGTAAAAACTGGATCTGTATTTTGGGCGGTGGCTGCATCACTATCCTATTTCTACATGGTAAGAATATTTGAAAAATTCATATATTTATAAAGTGAGCTTTCGTCTTTCGTCGATCGATAGAAAATGTGCCTCTATCAGAATTTCAATATAGTCTTGAGAGTGATGATGACTACATTATCACTATCAAAAAGGTTGAGAAATTTTTTAAAACATAGTTTTACTTTTTAAATTTAACTGCTTAATGTGTTCACCTGAGTTAACGTAGACAAAAACATTATTTTATTTTATTAACCCAAGATAATTCGAAGCATTATCTTTTCACTAGTAATTTTTATATTTAACATATTCACAATATTTTAAGTTCATTGGTAATTATCAACTTCATCTCAATTCGTCCTTCACCTGTCTGTACCTCTGTATATTTCAATCACTGAAAAAATAAGTTACTGTTGAAAACAAATAAATATGCTTATAGGTATTTTCTGTGGTGTGTATTTTAAAACATTTCATACTGCCACTAATATCTGCATTATTTATTCAGTACAAGCCCAGGCATAATTCAATAGTTCACCCAGGCATAATTTTCCAACTAGTGTATTTAAATAAAAGTACCTACTAACACTCTCAAACCTATAAACTATTTTATTAAAGAAAAATGTTGGTAACAGAGATATAATGTTCCTGTTATGGATTGGCCCTCTAGTGGCCCAGACCTCTTGCTAATAGAAACATGCATAAAATGAAGAAACAATTGCGTAAATATCCAGTCCGTTCAGTTAACGATCTATGCGCCAACTTGCAAGAAATTTGGGACAGCTTGCTTCCTGAAGAGTGCGCTAAGCTGGTAGATACAATGCCTGCCAGTGTTAAAGCTATTATTCTTAATAAAGGGGATGTAACATAAATTTGATAAAGCGACTGAACTATTCTGAACCACGAACCTAATGTTTTTTTAGGTAACAGAAGTATGTATTTCAGTTCATGTAACATATTTTTTATTTTGTTTAAATATACATAAACACAGTTTAAAATAAATATTCTTTGTTCTGTGTAGTATTCAAACATAAAGAAACTAAGTAAAGTACGTGTTAAACATTATACAGGGTGTAACTTTAAGTGGGTGTCAGTTTTTTAGAGGTAAATAGTACATGTTTCCTTGAATACGAATCTGAAATTCTTTTTTTTTTGTCAACAAATAGTCAAATTATAATTAGTTTTTTAAAATGCACTTTAATTCTTATGCATACTGTCAACCTACAGTGCACGCGGAGGGAGACAGTTCAGATCAATGGTAATGAAGCGAAAAGGGGTCAGTTGTTCCGCATTTGGAAAGTATATCTGTGAATTTGAATGTTTTTCATCGCTGGAAGCCATCAATAGGTTGCTTTGGTTACACTGTAAACAGGTCTATTGTCTAGTTAGTGACCATTAATCAAAGGGAAGAGAGAAGGTGGTATATTAAGTGTCTGTAAGAACTGACAGACGCGCAAGGTATAGTTAGCCATTTTATTTCTTATCCTGTGTTGACCGCTAGCAGTTATATTTAAACAGAAAACAATTTGTTATTAAATTCCCAACGAAATCTGTACCCTGAGGTTCACTTAGTTAAAAGTGGCAGGTTATACATTTGTGAGATTATATGAATTTTGAATGCCAATATGCTAATATTGGATGGGAACAAATTCAGAGGAGTGTTATAAAAATCATTTGAGTAAACAGACCATTTATTTTTGTGTATTTTCATTTATCATTATTGATTACTACTTGAGTTTTTTGCTAGGTTACTTGTTAAGTACTGTTTGTGTGGCGAACACCGACTCAATAAAAGTAACTAGTGCCAAAGAGCATTATCTCACGATTGGTGTGAAAATTTGCTTTTTAAGAACCGTTTCTTTAACTATGAGATTTAACAGCAATGCAGAGACTAGTTCCCAATTGTGCATGCGCTGTGACTAAAGCGCCCCGTTATTTGAGGTTACACTTGCTTATCCAGCGACAGGCTACGAAACTCTAAAAAAAAAAGGTTAAAAAAAATAACTATTATAAAAAAATATTGATTTGTGTTTCTAAAGGTCATATGAAGCTTTTGTATAAATATGACCCCCCCTTTCAAAGTTACATCCTGTATACTAATAGGCTATGCAGGACGGAGTTGTCAATAATTACAATTACAGTTTCTTATTCATGGAACATTCATGGATGATCACAAAATTGACAGATTTGTAAATCTGTGTCCAAATATAGATTAAAGGTCTTGTGAACTGATGATCACAATTGGCCCATTCTGTGGGTGGATGTAGCACTTTTGCAATCCTCCTATACTCCACGGTCGAAATTATAGAGAGTCTCATCGCTAGCTTTTGGACTAGTAAGGGGGGATGAAGCGTGCCGGGAACGAAAATCCATTGGCGTGTCTGCGTAAAAGGCAACAAGATATAGAAAATATTGAAAAAAGATAATAAAACATAACATCTATTATTTTTTTATGGTTTGCTATAACCGGAACTTTGATCCATTTTAATTATTACAGCATTTTAAAACGTTCCAGTTGTGTTTTTTTAATTTATAAATTTATTATAGCCATGGAATTAGACCCCTCGTCTACGCTTTTGCTATGACGTTTCTCAGGACGAGTAAATCAAGTCCGTTTACACCCACTAAAAAAGCATTTCCCTATTCCCTACCAAGTGTAAAAGACAGAGATAGAATATAGATCGACATTTAGTGTAACTTAGTCTATAAACGAGTATAGATTCTATCGATGTGCATAGCGAGCGGCACAAAGATAATATTGAACCGTATAAAAATCATTTTATATTTTATACACATTATGGTACTAGTGTTTTTATATTATGTCTGACTCACTCTCTATAATTTTGACCGTGGAGTATAGTTGTAGTATTTTGGAAACGATAGAGTAGTCGATGGCCAAACGGTTTGAGGTGTCAGTACTCAATGAACGCTACTGTCATTCGATCCACACGGCTGAAAGACTGCATGTATGGTAGGGTAGAAGAATGCTCCTTTTACATCATTTGATACTACGATTTGATGAGAAATGTTATTCCCATCATCTATCTCCTTTCCGACCTCCTAATGAGTTGCAACTTCATCGTACAACTTTTGCGTGTATTCTTTATCAAAATTAATGATTGGGTCTTAATGCTAACTATATTTTTAAATTAAAAGAATTTTTATTTCCTTCATGTTGGCAATTAAATTTCGGTAAAATTAAAAATTATTAAAACAGTAAGATCAAGATTACATTAAAACACAAGATTCTATTTCACCGATTTTTCACTAGATTTTATTTAACCAATCAGCAATTGCTTTATTTCGAGTGTAAGCGTAACGGTTTCTTATTATTAATTGTAAATGAATCATTAATATTGGCGACATCAAGATTTAGGGATTTTTTGTTATTACCAGTACCACCAATGTTGAGTTGCCTAAGCTCAGTGGTCACGTGGCTTGTAAACATTTATGAAAACTTTCTATTTATCACATAAGCACTGAATAAAACATGAATCTAGTTCATTAAATAACAAGTAATTTTCAAATCACCAGCTGTATGTTGAGGATAATTTGGAATTATTACACTATTCGAAGTTCATTGTACAGGGGAATGACAAATTGAGAATAATAATTACGACTGATGACACAAACAAATATTTTATGTTTTTTTTTTAAATAAATTTTGCACATATAAACAACATTTTTTACAGCAAACTTATCTTAAGAAGAAGCAAAATTATATCAATAACTTTTTCCATAAAATGAAAATTCAAAATGTTTCTCTTGTCCACTCTTTCTATATGTACTGTACATTGACAGTTATTAAATTTAGATATCTCGATGACAAAAAAATATCTATTTTAAGGTTTCTGCATGGGGAGGTTACGTCTTCATTATAAATTTGATACCACTTCATGTTTTTGTACTATTACTCATGGGAAGATTTTCAAATAGATTATTTACAAGTTATACAACATTTTACATCTTAGGACTGATATTTTCTATGCAAATACCCTTTGTAGGTTTTCAACCTATAAGAACAAGTGAACATATGGCAGCATCAGGTACTAATTGCTTTTGTTGGATTTAATTGATAAATGACTAATAGAGAAAACTTTTTCTTAGGTGTATTTGCTTTAATGTTTGCTGTGGGATTTTTGAAATACCTGCAAACAATGATGTCAAAGTCTGAGTTCAAGTCACTTGTAATTTTCGGTGGTTTTATTTCTGCTGGAATTGTGTTTTTAACTGTTGTTATCCTCACTTATGCTGGATATGTGGCACCATGGAGTGGAAGGTAAAATATAGTGTGCAAATGTTATATGAAAGTTAATTGCACTGTTATCAATATTATTACAGATTTTACTCGCTGTGGGACACAGGTTATGCTAAAATTCACATACCAATCATTGCATCTGTATCTGAACATCAGCCCACAACTTGGTTTTCATTTTTCTTTGATCTACATATTCTCATAGCAACATTCCCTGCGGGTTTGTGGTATGTTATCAAAAATATAAATGATGAACGAGTTTTTGGTAAGCACAATTTTATTAACCTTATTAATATTGAGTCATATTATATACAGGGTGTAATTGATAAATTGAAATAAATTGAAAAAATTGTATAAGTGAATTATTGACAAAAACAAAACGGCCATATGAACATAACTCTCCAAAGGAATATAGAGATATATAGTGATAAATTTTTATTATTTGTTTTCATTAGTTTTACATATTTTTTAACATAATTCATTCAAATATTCGCTTCATTCTGTATGTTATGGGAACCAACAGAGATGAATTACTGTTTTTGAAACTGTAGCTTCCCTAGTACTTTCAATGTTTCGTTTCTCTTTGCCACTATGTCGACAGATATTTAGTAATATTCCTAATTTTTCGGTTAACGACTCACATTTGTAAAATAATTTCAAATTAAAATAAGGAAAAAAATACCAATTTAAATTAACTAATTCCTTTACGAATATTATATATTTTTAAGAACGGAAAATTTTCTTTAAAATTGTTTGTAACTACCCCATTGTTTGTAGTTTGTTAGTCTATTTTCAGTAAAACTGTAAAGATATGGTTTTATGTCAGCAAGTAGAGTGTAGCAAAAGGAGTACTTTGTCACTATATCTCACTCTTGTTTATATCATATGAACCTTTGTTCTTATTTTTGGTTAGAAAATCACTTGTACAATTTTGTTAGTGGAATATTGCAATACCACTGCTAATTAATCAACTTAAAATATTAGGACCTCAATTAGGACACGTTCCAGAATTAAATCGGTAATCACAGAAGTCTCCTGTGAACATATAACTATTTTTTTTTTTTTAGTTGTTCTGTATGCCTTGAGCGCAGTATATTTTGCTGGAGTTATGGTACGTCTTATGCTCACTTTAACTCCTGTTGTTTGTATATTGAGCGGCATAGCATTTTCGGGTTTGTTGGAGTTGGTTTTAAGAGAAGACGATAACATCCGTGGTGAAGATAGTGAGGAAGATGAACATTCCACCCCAAGCAAGAGGCTATATGACAAGGTAATTTTCCGTGACGTTTTATTAATATATTAATGAATGTGATTGGTTGCTTAGGGGATATAAATGATTAGTTATAAAATTTCTTATTTCTTAGTTACCAAAAGAAGCAAAAACAAAATCAAAATCCGGAAAACCTGTAGGAAACAAAGCATCTACACCACAGGTAGTAAGATGGCTTGCTGTGGGTGAAGTTTTCTTTCTAATTTTCTTACTAACACACTAAATTCTTGTAAATAATTTTTCTGTTCACTGTTTTCATATTTTTATAGGAGATTAATTCTAACTTCCTTTTATTAAATTTATCGTGTGCAGTGACAATATCTATCATCTACATACAACAATGTATCTTAATTTACTGAAAAACTATTTAAATTTTAATGCATGCATGGAAATACTTGATGTTACGAAAAACCGATCTTTGGATGACAATGTCCATTTTCATTTGGGTGCCTATTTTTCAAGATTTAGGGTATCGAAGTTAAGATTTTTATTGATGTCTCTTGTTATATAAGATGGAAGTTCAAACCAAGAAGAAACGGTTGTAGTAGCTACTTCTTTCAATTTTTTTTTTATTATGCCTATGTTGCGTAGATCAAGAATATGTTTCTTTAATTCTTTTAATTTAAATTTTAAAATTTTGATGTAGAGCGTGATTTATGAGATATTGCAACTATTTTGTTTATACAATTTTTAGAGTTTGACATTCTTATAAGAAACATGAAGTATTTTGTAATATCGACTTTGGCAAGGGTTTTGATTAAATGTTTTCTTAAGATACAGTATAATTTTATAATTAAATTCATTTAATATACAAAATTTAAGTTAGCTGCATTCCAAAATAGGTATTCGAACTTAAGTCACTACAGACAATAGGTATTAGAACTCAAGAAAAAACGGTGTAAGAATTCAATATAAAAAAGAAATGTTTATATATTTGAGTCGTCTTAATGAAAGGGAGCCAAATATGCTAGAACAATTGTGATTTTAGCTCTTTGTGCATCGTTTTCACAATTGATACACCTCAGTCATATTTTGTGCTAGCGACAAATAAACATTAATAAAAAAAATAGAATTAATTGAGTTTTCAAAGGCTATTGACTAGCCAAAGAGTTGCAATGTCTCGTAAACAAGTACTAAATCAAAACTTATTGCATTTTTGATTTTTTTTTGTTTAATCAAAATTACTGAGTTAACGGAATGCCATAAAAACAAAGGAGTTATTAATAAGATATTTTTTTAAGTTATAATTTCAACACCTTGTATCTAGAACAAGAGATATTTAATTATAAAATAGCATAAGGCCCCCTTATTTCTACTAGAGAAACCGTTTGAACAAATTTTTTGTAACACTCTGTACAAAACATCTGGACCACAGTTTCACCACTTATCTTTGCATCGAGCGAATGGATGCCATTTTGAGATTTGAATATTTTCTCAGGGGGGGCTCAAAACAAAAAAATATATTGGAAGTACCCTCCCTAAAATTACTTTCTAAACACCTCGTTAAAATATTTGCACGTCATTATGAAGCACCCTGTATATTTGAAAGACCATGTAACAAGAAATGGAATATTTTCATTTTGACGTTTTCAATATTTTATGAAAAATTGATTTTGATTCTTTCATCTCAGTCAGTACCTAAATGAATTTTGAAAATAAGAAATATGTGTACTTTTTTAAAAAATTAAAATAAAAAAAATGTATATTGATATATTTTTTGCTTAATGCAATTGATTGGTAGTCTAACAATTACGTTTGAGCTTAACATTTATTTTTACTTAGGTATTGATAGTACTTTATTCAGACTTGTATAACTTCTCATTTTTATTGAATATAATTCAGGGAAGTTTTCAGTTATGATTGTGCAATTTGGAAAAAATGGATCTTTCAGGCAATATATTGTTTAGCAAATGGCACATAATGATTTATTTTTACAATAAATGCTTAGTTTTGAAATATTTTTTGTGAAGTAATGTTCAGATTTTAATTGTACTTTCATTTTTAAAAGGAATAAATGATCAGTTTTTGTAAAATTTTAGTTTTTGTGAAGGCAATTTTTCATTACTAGTAAATTGCGTGTATGACACACTTGTGCTTGATATGATTGAACTGATAATAATATTCAAAATAAATAAGATAAATTTTTAATTTAAAGGCGGGAAGGGTACCAAAAATGAAGCACGAACAATCTAAAGAATCAGATGGTATAGGAGCAAATGTCCGGAGCATTGTCACAGTGGTGATATTATTGTTGTTAATGTTATTTGCCGTCCACTGTACCTGGGTAACCAGCAATGCCTATTCCAGCCCTAGTATAGTTTTGGCATCATATGGAAGCGATGGAACTAGGCAGATTTTAGATGATTTCAGAGAGGCATACTTTTGGTTGTCTCAGAATACCGCTGATGATGCCCGGGTTATGAGTTGGTAAGTGTGGTTTTGTTTTATCATTTGGCAGTGACTTGTAGTTACCACCGATTAGAATATTTCAGGCTCCATTGATTTGTCTTGAAAATTTGGACGTAGGAGTTTTTAGGTGTTTGTGCTCTCTTTCAAAGGAAATAATGGTGTTTATGTCACACTTTTGGTTTTGGAAGTTGATATCAACTTTGTTACTTTATATGAAATGTTAATGTCTTTATCTCAAAAGTGAACAGTTTTTTGTTACTGATTTTTAAAAATTAGACGCAGCATTAGTTTTAAAGTTATACAGGGTGTGGCGTGTATAATTTATAAAAATTAAACTACAGCTTCCTGATGATTTTTGTAATAGAAAACTCTTATACCAAAAAATTCTATCTTCACGTTTTTTTTTTGTAAATTAAAGTTCATTTATTCAACAAAAATGAAGGCCGACCCTGTGTTACTTATTAAAAACATTGGAAATGTTTTCATGCGACACGAGATGCAACCTAGACGGTATAATCTAATACTAGTAATACTAAAAAAAGATTAGAGTACATTGTCAAAAAATTTGTGCAGTCAACTGATTTTGTATTTGTATTGAATTCATTATGCACTTAATTATTAAATATTAAGCATCGTTCATCGACCCATCAGTGTTAAAATGTAAGATTCCAGACAAAAGTTTTTATTTTGTAATTCCACGATAGTGACAGTGTAATTTTTATAAATAAGTAAAAAATAATAGTAGCGGGCCGATTACATTAAAAACAAGATTCTTATTTCTTACTTTGTTTAATTTTTTAGTTTCTGCACAAACTAGTTTTACAATGAATCGAGAAAACAATGTATTTACTATTTCCGAACGTGTCAATATGGTGTTAGTGTATGGTGCAGCCGGAGAAAATGCACTCGCGGTGACTAGGTTGTACCGGGAACGATGGCCACGACGTCACCGCCCATGTGCAAATACAATCCTACAGTGCGTTCAGCAGCTGCGACATACGGAAGTGTTATTCCTCGAGGAGAAGAACGTGGTCAGCAAGTGAACCTTAATGTTGAAGATGCAGTGTTGGAAAATCTTGACGAAGCTCCCACAATTAGTACTCGACTACTCGCACAGCAAGTAGGAACCTCATCTTGTACCGTACATCGCATCTTAAGGCGCCAGCTGTTGCACCCCTATCATCTGCAATCAGTTCAACAGTTTTTACCCCCGGATGTGATCAATGAATGCGTTTTTGCAGATAGTTTTTACAGCAATGTGCCAATCAAGTAGACTTTCCTGTTTATGTTTGTGAAACAGATGAGGCGACATTTACCCATGAAGTGAATTTCCATAATATGCACGTATGGGTCGATGAAAATCCTCATGTGATTAGGGAAACTCATTTTCAGCATTGGTTCTCGGTAAATGTTTGGGCTGGTATAATGAGCGATGTACTTGTGGGCCCCTATTTCTTGAAGTACGACTAAATGCACGCACTTTTTATCTTCAAAATGGGGCTCCTCTACAAAGTACTCGAAAAGTAAGACTTTTGAATGAAATGTTTCCTCAGTAATGGATTGGATGCTTTGGTCCTGTGCCGCGGCCACCTCGGTCACCTGATCTAACTCCAATGGACTTTTATCTTTGGAGTCACTTGAAGTCATTGGTTTATAATGAATGAATTTAAGATAGTAATTATATTAATTATTAGAATAAGAAAATATCAGTTTTTTTTTGAATATGTATTTTTCTTAGTTTGTACTTTTGCATTGAAAAATTCCCCAAAAATTTCTACCTTTCAATGACGATTTCTTTACGCGGCTGGTCTACAGTACGTACCTCATCGTACAGCACACCGACAGAACTCTTTTGTATAAGACTTCTATTACAAATATCGTTAGGAAGCTGTAGTTTAATTTTTATAGATTATAAATGCCACACCCTGTATAGGGTGTAACTTTAGGTGGAGGTCAGTTTTTTTAGGGGCAATAGGACATGGAATATTCTAATTGAGTCAACTTATAATTCTATTTTTAAACTGCAATTGATGATCCGAAATTAGTTCAGTAAGTTATGTCACCAATTTTGAGAGTTGCCAGTAGTTAGCTTTTTAAATCAACTGTTAAAAACGAAACTAGGATTGGAAATAATTTAGTAAAAACAGATTATTTTTGTATGTCTAAGGCCCGGTACTTTGAGTCTCGGTTAAGGCTTAATTAACTAATCAGGCGATTAGACTGAATATATAATTATAAAATAAATAAGTATGTGTACAGTCTAATTGCCTAATCAGTTAATCAAGCTTTAACTGGGTCTAAAAGTACCGGGCCTAAAATTAAAATTTTTTACATGATTTATTAAATATTAACTAATATTGGTATATTATTAATTGTAAGTAAAATTAATTTATGTTTTAAAATCATTATTTTTGCTGTTTTTAAAAACTAAGTAAAGTGATAATAAAAATGTTTACTTAATAAAAATATTTAGTAATCTCAATAATATGAAATATTTTTAAAACCATTTCAAGTTTTTAAAAACAATTGTGTTGTTATTCTGTGTCAATGACCTCTAACATTGACCTAGTTCAGCTGAACTATACTTCGGTCACTACATAAAGTAGACAGACGTATTTAAAAAAGTTAAAATGGGTACTATTAAAAAGTTATAAAATTCTAAACAAAATACAGAATGTTTGTACTCTTTTATCTTACTCAGCCACTTCATCGGCCTAATAAATAAAAATATTTAATTACAGAAAAATACTAATTTACATTTGTAATTATTTAAAAAAAGAGCATTTCAAAAATTGATTTCCATTTAAAATAACAAAAATTAATGTGAAGTTCAATTATAACTGTAAGTGTGACAAAGACACCATTATTTTATTTCAACAAAACAAACGATAGTCTGAAATATTTTACTGGTTGGTTACTCGGAGACATGCTACATACACTTTACTTTTAAATTGTGCGGTCAGCAGATTCAAGATCGTTTATTTATTGAGATATGGGATGTATAATGAGTGAGGCAGACTTACTGTGCTAACAACAAATTTATATCACAACTAGAAACTGCTAATACTTGAAATAATTTTTGCTAGGTGGGATTATGGGTATCAAATAGCAGGTATGGCGAATCGTACAACTCTAGTCGATAATAACACTTGGAATAACAGTCATATAGCACTTGTTGGAAAGGCTATGTCTTCTAATGAAAGTGCAGCCTATGAGATAATGACTGCTCTAGATGTCGACTATGTTCTTGTGATCTTTGGTGGTGTTATTGGTTATTCAGGTGACGATATTAATAAATTTTTGTGGATGGTTCGTATTGCTGAAGGAGAACATCCCAAGGATATCAGGGTAAGAATATATTGGAGAATTAAATCCTTTTAAAGTGACCGTTTCAAGAATAATCAAATATTTTTCTTAAATATGATGGAAATTTAATATACAGGGTGGCATAAAAGTATGGGAACCCCAAAAAATCTCGCAAGATATGCATTTTCTGGATAAACCAAATATAGGGAAGTTAGGATTTATCCCTGGCTATTCAATGGCGACCATGGCATGACCACTGACCACTAACATTGTGGTCATTATGGGGTCAAGACGATTTTTTTAAATGGGAACCCCCCTTTTTGGCCCCAGAAATGGAAAGAGTGGAAAATGTTACGCTCAGATATGACCTTGTTGACCATTTAAAAAATTCAAAATGGCAGACAAAATTTTTGAAAGTTAACCGTTTGTCACCAAATTTTGTATACAGAGGTTTTCGAGGTTGCTGATCACGAATCCGAGGTCAGATTTTGAAAATTTAAGATCGTGGATGGGGTTTTTAAAGTTTAATCAATGGGTACCAAATTTGATATATGGGGGTTTTAAGGGTCACTGACCCCACATTCGTGATCAACAACTCAAAAAACGGCCGTATACCATATTTGTTGCAAATTGACTAATTTTCAAAAAATTCGTCCTCCATCCAGAATTTTACAAATCGACCTCGTAAACCTCCATATAGCACAAAATTTGGTGACAATTGGTTAGCTTTCAAAAATTTCGTCCGCCATCTTGATTTCGCCGCCATTTTGAAATTTTTTAAATGGTTAAGGTCATATTTAAACGTAAAATTTTCCGCTCTTTCCATTTTCGGGGTCAAATGGGGGGGGTTCCCAATTAAAAAAATCGTCGGGACCCCATAATGACCACGTGGTCAGTGGTCAGTGGTCAGTGGTCATAGCATGGTCACCATGGCCGGGGAAAAATACTAACTCCCTATATTTGGTTTTTCTGGAAAATGCATATCAAGCGAGATTTTTTGGGGTTCTTATACTTTTATGCCACCCTGTATATTTAAGACATATTAATTTTATAAAAGTTGTAGTAGGGTAAGTAGCAGGAAAGTGCCTCCCAAAATTTTTTGGACCTAACTTGATGTTGGAGTATAATCTCTTACAAAAATATTATCTAGTAATATTTGATTTAAAAAAAACCTATTTAAAAAATAAAAAAAAAAATAGAAATGGGAAAATTTTCACTGAAAATTTTCTAAATCTATAAAAAAATATTTTCTATTTTTTTTATTAAATTCTTATGACTTTCAGACAAACCAGATACATTTAAAAAAATATATGTATGTAAAATAGCGCTAACACTGACACTTGGCATCACCAATCAAAATGCTGTGACACCATTGTTGTCACTATTCTTTATAAAGCCTCTGTGTAAATTGATATGTCATCTAGATAAATCCATTCTTAATTCCTTAAATTTTTTTATCTACGATCGTGTCAAAAGGGAGAGTTTATGTAATTTCTAGTATATTTCTTTTTATATAGGAGCCTATGTAATAAAAGTATTTGCTGCATACTTTCATTGCATGATTTCAGTTAAAATGTCTACAATGATTAGTAAATGTATTTTTGCAATTAACACAATTTTCAATAAGAATTCTGCACAAATTATAACTGCTTGATATAGTGAACAGTATACCAGTAGTGGCAATGGCATTATTTAAGACTTTGATCCTGCAATTTTTTTTTTTGAATTAATTCTACTTAAGATTCTGCCAGCGCCGACATAAAACAAGGTATTGTTTGATAGTCTTGACAGCGATTTTACCCATATTTACTCAGCTTTGATAAATTTTGTATACAGGGTCGGAAAGTCCCAATGGTTCATCGGCCGTTACGTGAGAGCGATAAAGTAAGTCATAGAAGTGGATCTTATTTATGGAAGGGCGAAATGGGCGGTGACTATTGGACGCCTTCATTATAGCTATCTTTCTCTATTGCACCGATTTCTATGACTTTCTTTATCGCTCTCACGTAACGGCCAATGAACCATGGGGACTTTCCGACCCTGTATTTGTAAATTTGAATACTTGTTTATGTTACAGGAAAGTGACTATTTCACAGAACATGGTGAATTCCGTGTCGATGAGGAGGGTTCTCCGACATTACTGAATTGTTTAATGTACAAATTAAGTTACTACAGATTTGGGGAGCTTAAGTTAGATTATAGAACACCTGCAGGATTCGACCGTACTCGAAATGCCGTTATTGGCAACAAAGATTTCCAACTGACTTACTTAGAAGAAGCCTATACTACCGAGCATTGGCTAGTGAGAGTATACAGGTAACGAGTTGAATTTTTTTTTCCTTGTAGGTATACTGACTGACATCCGACCATATTTTTGTAGGGTGAAAAAACCAGATGAATTTAATAGACCTAGAATACCAGTAGCAAATAGAGTTGTTAAGTCTCCCAATTTTGTGTCTAAAAAGGTAAGTTATGTAATTGTTAGCCGATTTTTTTATGTGCAGGGGGAATTTAAACGTCCAACTTTATTGACGTTTGTAAATACGATGTTTCACTTTTTTATCCAAAATATAGTAGTATTTGCTTAAAACCAAATTTGAAAGAAAAAAAGGGCCCTATTCAGGGTACGGTTTATCGATATGTTAATATGTTGGAAATCACTATGATCATGTCTCATAGCGAGTTATTGCTTTTGCAATTAGTCGAATGATAAAACTAGGAAATAGATTTTTACTAATAGAGCAATTAAAATTGTTTGGGAATTGTCCATTACTTGCCTAAACAGGAATTTATCATCACAAAGTCTCGTCTGCATATGCATAGACTTACAGCGGTCAGAAATCCGAAAAAGCTGGACAAAAGTCTAAAAAGGTTTGCATCATCACCAAAAGTGGGAACTTTAGTAAAAAATCTCAAATTCAAAATGTCTGACACAAAATGGCCGATACATCACGTTGAAATTTCAAATGCCTCTGGTATTGAGGTCATGTAAAACGTATGTAAGGTTGGAGTTTGAGGTTTTTGAGGTAATTCATTATTATTAATAAAGTAAGAAAGGTAAATATCTGCGATATAAGCATGTGTTTAAAATGAATACCTTATTTTGAACGAAACAATTTCTAAATACTATTGAAGCTTATTTTTGTTATAAAGCTTACTCTAATACATGAGTCATTCGCATCGTCATCATCTATCACATAACCGTCATAGCACAAAAACATGTCACCAGAGCTTTTCTCACTTTCATCTATCTTGCACCTTTTTAATGTTGATCTAAAAATGATGATTTGCGGTTCTAACTTCTCGTGGAATTTTCTTTTCAAAAATCAAAAAATTTTTTAAAAACAAGTTTTTAATGATGTAGTTTTATTTTCTTATTCTTCTCATCAAACCCTTTCATTTGATACCCATATCACAGGGGTGCATAAAAAATAACTGGTTCGCCATCTTTGGGAGTCCGCCAAATTGGATTTAGAATGACGTCACTTAGCTAACCATGCATTGTCATCCAAACTAAATGTGTATGTAAAATTTCAGCTCAATCGTTTGGGGACAACTGTTTTAAAGTTGAGTTGCAAGATTTGACCCATACTAGCAAGGCAAGTTAAATAAAAGCTTGTAATGATAAAAGGCACACGAAAGAGATGCATGTTAAAAAAAAACAATTTGAATTAGAAACGCTTGTTTGGAACCGAAGAGACCCTAATACGCTAGCTATTGTATAACTAAGGCCTCTTACAATAGTAAACCAGCCGTAACGGGGACACAAAAAATGACTCGGAACCCAAATTTGGAAAAATTCAGAGGTTTTCTCTTTTGATATATGAACTTGACACTCCTGTATGCATTTTCCAACTTTTAATAATCTCATGGGATCACAAATATTTCGATAATTTGTGATTGATGTGATTTGAAATCAATGGAAACTGCAAGACGTTTTTGTTAAAACAATAAAAACATGCATCTTACCTCCAGGAACACCCTCCTTATTGCACACAACGATTCGTACTCTAGTAAAAATTTGCACTTATTTTCAATTCACTGCTTTTCGAGGGGTCAGTGGCAAGTGAAATATACTAATGTGGCGCAGCATACTTCTGATAGTTGCTGTGGTCTATACACATGGGCTAAGTCTCTGTCCCTTTAAAGAACTACGCAGTGACTCCTCTAGAATATACTGAAGTATTAACGCAAACCAACGACTTTGAAATTTCGACTTTTGTCCAGCTTTTTCGGAATTCCAACCACTGTGAGATTATAAGAGAATACAATACACACAATGCGCAGCTTACTGTACAATACTGCTGCACTAACTAAAATAGAAGCTACCAATTCTATGGTCAGAAATTAATCTCCTATCATTTTATCGAATGTGTTTGGTCATTGTAACGATTCAATAAATAAAAGATAAAATATCAGCCTAATATATGTTGTCCTTCAATAAACCGCATGGCTAGGGCCTTTCACAGTCAAATTTTTAATTGCCCTTGACACAAAACATATGGTTTCAGTTTAATAATCGCGAAAAAGAATTGTATTCGGTTCTCTGTCCATCAGTGGCGGCTCGCCAGGTGACGCACCACTTCACCTAAAATTTCCATTTGGTTGTGCAATTTAAAATTATTTTTAATTTTATATAAATTTTATAATTTAGGTATAATTCTATATTGAAAATGTATTGTGTTTATTTTATACACAGAAATAAACAGAATAGTTGTGCGGTGACCGCCTTCCAAAAAAAATAATGTCTTCATTGAGCGCGAACATCAACCTCGTACCATACAATGTATAGCATAAGCAAGTGACGCGGATCGAATTCAGTTTGTATTTCGTCTCACTTCGTAGCATTGTTTACGGCGGTTGTCATGGCAACGAGGCGGCCAACATGTGAGTAAACTACGGCGTGGGGGAACGAGTGACGTGGAAATTGAAGCAGCATCGCCATCGCCCATCGAGTGCCTTTACTTTATATAGTTTATACGATATGTCGACCAGTGCACGATTATAACGGTTATTTGTTAACATTTGTTTTGTATCAATAATTGTAGAAAGGTTTCCTATATATGATCCAGTATGTATTTTATTGGAAATACCATTCTCCAGATGGAAAATTGAGGACAAAAAGGATTTTTTAAATTGCGGGAGACCTGTGCCTTCTCTCGGACGTTGAAAAAAGGTGAAAGTCAAAAGACAAAGTGTACGTTCGGAAGTTTCAGAATTAATGGTATTCAGAGTATAAGTGGTTGTCTGGCTTTTCTGTATGCCATGTTTAATTGTGTTTCTATTTTTTATAAAATCTAAATGAAAATCCTTCTCGCAAATGTCAGTTTTTTGTTTGATCTTGAAAATTTTCGCCTGTGGCGCTTTTTTTCCTTTTTAGTCAATCAATAAATATGCTTCACCCAAGGACATTTAAATAAAGGGGACTATGCATGTCACAGTCTATCTCATATGTTGGGTGAAGCTAGACAAGGGGAAAGCAGAGGGCTTTATTTTCATCCAACTGATGCGCGCGATTACATCTCCAATGTCGTACATTTTGGACGGGTCAAAATAAAATATTTTATAGTCCTAAGTCAATATATTTCAACAGCTACTCAGTATTTTTATAATAAATATATATAATATTTTTATAACTTCTTGGAATCCCAATAACTGTAACCATTTCTTTCTTGTTGCACCATCCCCAAGCATCCTAAAAACGTTCACATTTCACTTTTAGAATACTGAGGCAAATTTTCAGTGAGACATAAAAATATATTCCCAAAGGAGAACATCAAATGGTTGAATGAATGCAACTTTCAGTTGATTGCATCTTCGGTATTTTTATGTATAAGTGAACCACCACCATATTTTTGCTGTTGTATTTATTCAGTTTTTATGCTCGTGCATTTAGTAAAATTGTAAATATATTTTTGAAAAGGTTTTTGTCGTAGAGGAAAATGAAAATGATGAATGATTAAAATTTGTAATGTTGGGTATAAGGGATAACATTGAAATACCTATAAATATATTAAATATAAATAATGTCTGTAACTTATTTGTGGTGCAGCATTTTCCTTTGATTTTAATGGCCAAACGTGGTTCATATTATTGTTTTCTTACTATTTCAGCAAAAATTTTAAAAAAATACCAAGTCAGTTTTATAAAATTTTACCGTTATTCAAATAAAAGTTACCCACACGCACGACAATGGCCACAGTTGCATATACATTCCAAAGTCACCTTCAAGCACGCTTACCTGTGGAAGGATAGCTGATGTGGATGTTTATAATCCAATTTCTTACAAATTCTGCACTGTCTAACCATATTCACACCTTAAAAGTTTATCCAAAATACATGTATAAACACTAATCACGTTTCACTTACTAAAATCACAACTATTTTCTAACAAGAGACGCCATATTCTGCCAACCACGGCAGAACGAACGAGGAACACGCTACAAATTATTGCGTAGTTGCCAAGTCTTCAAACATGGCAAATATGAAAAATGAAAAATAGTTTAATATGTACAGAATTTAACAATATTGTATGCATAACTTAATAATACTATCCTATAATAATAATTTTCACAATTGTGATGAAAATTGCGATAAAAATATTAAGTACATTTCCAGTATAATTATACAGCTGACAACAATGATACAATTAGACTGTGAATAGACCAGGCTTCATCTAGAAATGTAAATAAATAAGCCCTTTATTTAAATGTCCTTGGCTTCACCTATTCTTAATGTCATGAGCGGTCACTGCTGTCCTTATGTTCGGATTTTTTAAAACAAACATACATTGTACTAGCATGAGTCTATGCAAAATTTCAATTCAGTATTTTAAAAAACAAGAGTTATTAATTTTTTTTATGTTAACATTGACATTATCTTGACAATGGAAATAAAAAATAGCATATGTCATAGTATTATCTTTCAAGGAATCTGTGGCCAGAGGTCTAACATACTTTTTTGTAACGTCCTGTACATGTTATTTGTAATAAGAGTTTTTTATTTTTATTTATGTCAAAAATACTATGGGTTGATTCCAAATAATGTGATATTGTAGTACAATTAGTTAACGTTGTGATTTGTTTCAGAGTACTAAGCGTAAAAAGGGTTCCATCAAGAATAGACCCATTATAGTAAAGGGAAAGAGACTGTCAACAAAACAATAATAGAGGGAACGAAGAATTAATAGTTAATTATTTTTATTGTTAATTGTTTCATTATCACATAATTTACGTACCTAAAAAATTCAATATTTGTGTATAAAAATGACATTCAGAGTAAGTTGACTGTGTTCAGATTTTATTTTCTTGTGAAAAAGTGATAAACAACATCAGTTCACAATGTGATAATTGTGTAAAAATAAAGCCAATAAATTTTTTTGCACTAAAAATTATTTCTTTTTCCTTTCCTTCAACTATTTTGTTACACTGTCAACAGAAATAGTATTAAAATATACACAAAACAGAAATGGCAGACTGAATACCAAGTACATAATAGTAATATATTAAATAAATATATTTGTATTTTAAATTTTTGAAAATATATTTAGGTATTATTATATCTCTAGTTACTTGTATTTGAAATGATTCGTGACTGTATACTGTTGTGATAGTGATAGCTTCTCTATCATTACATTGTCATGGTGTTTCGAACATTCGAGCCCCACGTGGGGTGCCATGTTAACTTTTTTATTTTCCCGTCGTGGATTACCTCTAGTATGGGGAGAACCACCATTTTTTACTGAGGTTTCCATGTATTGCCTGTGCTGCTGGAACTGTCGCCTCCTGCTCACCAGCAAAGGGCAAATAATGTTTTCGGACCTCATCTTGCCGACCTTAACGGACGCTTGCGGATGTGCACGTTGAGCTGGTCAATTGTCCTCCGTTGGTAGCAAAGTATATTTCCAAAATTATAGAAAACAATCTTAATTTTGTTGCCATCTTTCACTCTGTTATGGCGCGGATATTTGGAGGCTTTCAACTCTGAGCCTAGTTGCACTCAATGTTTTTGGCAACACTTCAAGTATGGTTACCCTGGTGTCTATATCACTGTCTTTTAGACTTTGCTATGCATAGCTCTGCTTTCAAGGTCCCCATGAGTATTTAAAAATTTGGAAGGTTCTATGGAATAATAATTGAAGTATTAACAAAAAGTTTCATAAGACTTGGAATACTTGGATAGTTTCAAATACTCGGCTGTTCGAAAACTTCGAGCTTATACTACTGGACTGGAGGTAGCCTGCCAATAACTGGGCGCGTGGCAAGGTGGAGAAAGATAGCTTCTATGAACCTATCTTTCTTTCTCGCCGAACGTAATTGGCTCACGACTGATCCCACGTGACAGAAACAGCATCACATTGGGAGACTAGCTGCTAGCTCCAGTGGCATATGCTCGAAAATCGCCGCGCCATTATTCCATGGCTAGAAATTGGCCTCAATGATTTGGGATCGAGGGGGATCATCCCTCTTTATCCTGCCTCATCTCGTGTAGGCCTGGACAGCCTTCGTAGGTGGGCCCCATCCGTCGTCTACCCCGACCGCAAATGCGGCCGGTGTAGGCGCTTTGTGGGACCTCCTTTTGTCCTGGCTGGGCCCCGCCGGCTAGGGCCCTTTCTTCTGGCGCTCTTCTTGCTTCGCCGGCTCGTCTGTGTAAACCCCGGGGGTAGTGTCATGTTTATGTGTGGTATGGTTGGGTAGGGTAGTGCGGCTATGCAGCCTGGGATGCGCTTTGCTAAGGTGGCCCTTAGGCTAGCGCGGGAGGGGAGGGTTAAGGAGGGTATGGGGGGTGTGTGTGTGTGTGTGTGTGTGTGTCGTTGTCTTCGTTTCTTGATCCTGGCTGTCTCTGAAACAGAAAAGGTTAGCGGGCAGGGGGGGGGTCATTGGGGTGGTCACCCAGGGTCAAAAAGTTGGTGTCTAGGTCTTTTGTGTTTGTCGGTCACGTCGGGTACGTAGTCAACGGCTTGCCTGAGGAGGGGATTGTCATGTCTAGCGGCTACGTCAAATCGTTTCTCCGCGTTTTGTCTTATTGTCTGTGTAGCGTTTGTGTATTGTAAGTCTCGTAATATGTCAGTGTTTCTTACGTACCAGGGCGCGTCGGTGGCCGTGCGGAGGGCTATGTTTTCCACAGCCTGTAATGACTTTAAGTGGCTTTTTGCCGCGTGACCCCACGCCGTGGAGGCGTAGGTTAGCTGCGGTTGAAGTACCACCTTGATAAGCGTTCGCTTATTCCTTAAACTGAGGGTGTTTCCACCTTTGAGTAAGGGATAGAGCCTAGCCCTGGTGGTCTTCGCTCGCGCCACCGTCTCCACGATGTGCGGTTTCCACGTGAGACGCTGGTCCATCGTCACGCCCAGGTATCGTGTTTGTCGATTCCAGGAGATGGGTTCCTGGGATAGTGTCAGTCTGTCAAGGTTTTGTGGGATTTTTCGTTTGGTAAAAAGGATAGCCGAACTTTTGTTGGGATTAATTTTGACTTTCCACCTGTTGCACCAGGTTTCAAGTTGGTCTAAGGAGCTTTGGAGGAGGTAGACGGAATATCTAGGATCTACGGATTGGGATGTGATTGTCAGGTCGTCGGCGTATAAGTATATGTTGGTGTTGGGGGGATGTGGGATGTCGGAGTTGTAAATGGTGTATAGGTGTGGGGACAGGACGGTGCCCTGGGGGACACCGGCCTCCATGGGACGGGTGGTGGAAAGGGAATCTTGGATTTGGATGCGGAATTTTCGGTGGTGTAGGTAGGATTTTATGAGTTTGGTAAAGGATATGGGATATTGGTTGGTGAGCATTTTCATCAGTAGGCCTTCATGCCAAACCGTATCGAAGGCCTTTGCGACGTCCAGGAAGACAGCACCAGTGTACTGTCCCCTGTTGAAGGCCGCCGTGATGTGCTCGGTAAGGCGAAGGATTTGGAGTTCAGTGGAGTGATTGGGTCGGAAGGCGAACTGCTCGTCTGGAATGACTTGCAGTTCTTGGGAGTGGGTTCTTAGACGGGTTAGGATAATTTTTTCTACCACTTTGCTCATAGCCGGGAGCAGGCTAATGGGCCGGTAGTTGGATGGGATGGTGTGATCTTTGTTGGGTTTTGGGATAAGGATTATGTTTGCTGTTTTCCAGCGGGTAGGGAAGTGTCTTAGTCTGAGTGTCGCGTTTGTTATGTTTAGTAGGGCCATGAGGCCCTTGTGTGGTAGTCGTTTAAGTGTCGTGTTATGTATATTGTCGGGTCCGGGGGCTTTTCTGTTTTTAAGTCTGCGTATTGTCAGTCTTAGTTCGTCAGGTGTTGCGGGGGGGATTATGTCATTGTCTGGCTCTCTGTCGACGCGTCGGGCCGCGCGCTCAGCCACTATCTCGAATTCCTCGTCTTCGTCGGGCAGCTGAGGCAGTCTACACTGCAGTTCCAGGCTATCGGCGAAAGCCTCGGCCTTTTCCTGGTTCGTGTAAACCACCCCCACACTACCGTGGATTGGAGGAATTTTACGGCGAGCGGTCTGTCGCAGGGCCCTCTGCGTTTTCCAGAGGCTGTTGTCTTGTGGATCCAGCGACTCCAGGTGCCTAGCCCAGTTATCCTGGGCCAGTTCATCCAGAGCCGCCTTCACCCGTCTGTTAAGTACGTTTAAGTCATGTCTGTGTCGGGGGAGGCGGGTGCGGGTGGCAAGCCGTTTCGCACGTCGTCTGTCACGTATTAAGTTTTTTATGTCATCGGGGAGGGTGCCCCGGGGGTTTGTCAGTCGGGGGACAATAGTCTCCGTCGTAGTCTGAGTCAGGGCGTTTTTAATGTCAGTCTCAAGGGAGAGGATTGCCGCCTCCAGATCATGGGTGGTTTCGATGACTGGGAGCGCGATGTTTCCTTGCATTACTGCTCGGAAGCGCTCCCAGTCAGTGAACCTCCTCGTGAAGGTGCCTTCATATCTCTGGCCGGTGTAGGCGCTTTGTGGGACTTCTTTTTGTCCTGGCTGGGCCCCGCCGGCTAGGGCCCTTTCTTCTGGCGCTTTTCTTGGGGTGGGGAGGGGTAAAGAGGGAATGGGGGATGTGTATGTGTGTGTGTCGTTGTCTTCGTTTCTTGATCCTGGCGGTCTCTGTAACAGAAAAGGTTAGCGGGCAGGGGGGGCATGTCGTTTGGGTAGTCACCCAGGGTCAAAAACTTGGCGTCTAGGTCTTTTGTATTTGTCGGTCATGTCGGGGCTCGAAGTTCGAAACTGCGATGACTGCTGAAAACATCACTGAACTGGGTGCTCAGTAAACAGCACGATTTTATTAAACTCTAAATCAAAACATCTACCGACGCGTTCTCATACTAAAGCACAGTATAATAGTTCGTGCTTCTGTCTAAATAATGTCCATGATAGATAATTGCAAACAAATGTAAAATATGGGCATATATTAGAAAAAGATAAACGAAAGTGGACGGGTGGACACTTGCCATATAGATACTCTTACACACGAGCGTTGTTTTACCGCTCGTCTACCCCGATCGCAAATGCGGCCGGTGTAGGCGCTTTGTGGGACTTCTTTTTGTCCTGGCTGGGCCCCGCCGGCTAGGGCCCTCCATGTTTATGTGTGGTATGATTAGGTAGGGGAGAGCGGGTCCGCAGCCTGAGATGCGCTTTGCTAAGGTGGCCCTTAGGCTAGCGCGGGAGGGGGTGGCGGTAAGGAGGGTATGGGGGGGTATGTATGTGTGTGTGTGTGTCGTCTTCGTTTCTTGATCCTGGCGGTCTCTGTAACAGAAAAGGTTAGCGGGCAGGGGGGGCATGTCGTTTGGGTAGTCACCCAGGGTCAAAAACTTGGCGTCTAGGTCTTTTGTATTTGTCGGTCATGTCGGGGCTCGAAGTTCGAAACTGCGATGACTGCTGAAAACATCACTGAACTGGGTGCTCAGTAAACAGCACGATTTTATTAAACTCTAAATCAAAACATCTACCGACGCGTTCTCATACTAAAGCACAGTATAATAGTTCGTGCTTCTGTCTAAATAATGTCCATGATAGATAATTGCAAACAAATGTAAAATATGGGCATATATTAGAAAAAGATAAACGAAAGTGGACGGGTGGACACTTGTCATATAGATACTCTTACACACGAGCGTTGTTTTACCGCTCGTCTACCCCGATCGCAAATGCGGCCGGTGTAGGCGCTTTGTGGGACCTCCTTTTGTTCTGACTGGGCCCCGCCGGCTAGGGCCCTCCATGTTTATGTGTGGTATGATTAGGTAGGGGAGAGCGGGTCCGCAGCCTGAGATGCGCTTTGCTAAGGTGGCCCTTAGGCTAGCGCGGGAGGGGGTGGCGGTAAGGAGGGTATGGGGGGGTATGTATGTGTGTGTGTGTGTCGTCTTCGTTTCTTGATCCTGGCGGTCTCTGAAACAGAAAAGGTTAGCGGGCAGGGGGGGGGGGATGTCGTTAGGGTGGTCACCCAGGGTCAAAAAGTTGGTGTCTAGGTCTTTTGTGTTTGTCGGTCACGTCGGGTACGTAGTCAAGCTTGCCTGAGGAGGGGATTGTCATGCCTAGAGGCTACGTCAAACCGTTTCTCCGCGTTTTGTCTATTATCTGTGTAGCGTTTGTGTATTGTAAGTCTCCTAATATGTCAGAGTTTCTTACGTACCAGGGCGCGTCGGTGGCCGTGCGGAGGGCTATGTTTTCCACAGCCTGTAATGACTTTAAGTGCCTTTTTGCCGTGTGACCCCACGCCGTGGAGGCGTAGGTTAACTTGATCAATGGTACGTCAATGGTGCACTCAGTGTGCACCAGTTTTCTCAATGGAAATCGCTATAATTCTAATTAAATTCGAATATAAGGAAGACGGAACTATTGGAGTAGGTTGTGAATGAACTCACATTTTCACACTACTTGATTCAAATTTGACCACTTTTTAAAAAAGTATAGAGGCAGTATATAGATTGCTTTTATGTTTTATTTATTTAAATATATTAATTTAAGGCGATATGCTTATCAGATACAAACAGAGAAAGATTTTTACATTTTCTGTAAACAACATTTGCGAATTCATTCATTTAATTAGCAGAACAGCTTGAGCTGCAGCAGAACAGGGAGCAATATATTTCTGGCTCATTTTGAGAATACATCAAATAATTTGCAAGCGAAATATAATTACTGTTGGGAGTTCAACTTTCAATGTGAAATACACGCCATTCTGCTAATTACTTATTACATTATAAGTATTGTTCTAGACTTCACTGATTTGAAGTTTCGCATTCGCATTTCACAATTTAATTGTACTTAAACTGTATCTAATGCAACGTATTGGTATCTCAATTGATCTGCAGCAATAGCAATCAAGCAATTTGCAATTACAAATATTACAATTGCAGTGAAATTAGGAATAGGAACACAGAACATCCCTAACTAAATAGGAGCCACAAAACATAATTCTTATCTTAGGAAGTTATTTTTTCCCTTTGACATTTGACAATCGGTATCGGCAGTTCTTCGCGTCCTTTTTCCGGCTGACGTAAACGTGTTTATTTTGCTGTAGCTGTTATAGAATTTTATAAATAATTTTATGCGTTCATTTTGATATAATAAAAGTATATTATGGGAACCCGCGTATTTGTGGGAGGTTTAACATACAAAATTAGAGAGCGTGATTTGGAGAAATTCTTTAGAAAATATGGTCGAATAAAAGAAGTGTCTATGAAAAACGGTTATGCGTTTGTGGAGTTTGACGATCATAGAGACGCCGACGATGCCGTGTATGAGTTAAATGGAAAAGAATTGCTTGGAGACAGGGTTACTGTAGAAAGGGCAAGAGGAACACCACGGGGGAGCGATCAGTGGCGTGGCAGAGATGGTGGCGGCGGTGGAGGAAGAGGTTACGGGCCTCCAAGAAGTAGAAGTGACAACCCACGCGGTAGGGATAAATATGGGCCTCCAACACGTACAGAGTACAGGGTAATTGTAGAAAATCTGTCCAGTCGTTGTAGTTGGCAAGATCTAAAAGATTATATGAGAAAAGCTGGAGAAGTTACTTATGCTGATGCTCATAAACTTGCTCCTAATGAAGGAGTAGTAGAATTTGCATCTTATAGTGATATGAAAAATGCTATTGAGAAACTTGATGACACTGAAATTAATGGACGTAGAATTAGATTGGTAGAAGACAAACGAGCATCTAAAAAGAATAGATCAGATAGCCACAGTCGATCTAGATCTCGTTCAAGGCGTAGATCTAGATCTCGATCACGTAGTTCAAGAAGTCAGTCACCTAGACAGTCTCGTTCTCGATCCAAGGAACGAAACTCTAGATCTCGATCTAGATCACATTCCAAAGAAAACGACAAGATTTCCAGATCAGTAAGCAAGGATAGGAATTGAGAGGATTAACTACCTGGAAAATTTAATATGATGAAGAATAATAAATTTAGGTTTAGTATTTTACATGCTTATTTTTTAAGTTATTATGACTGTGTTGAGATATAAAATTGTATTGATTCTTTGTATAGTGTACTTCATTGACCATTTAACAAGTATTGGTTAGTTTTTCAGCTACCAAAATTGATCTGGGATCTGGTATTTACTGTAACTTTGTTTTTTTATATTATCATTTTGTTGTAACTTAAGACTTAATAAATGTCTTCAAATATTTTGTTATTATAACTTCAGTATTAAAACTTCAATCATAACAGTAGTCTAAAAATTGTTTTTGGACACACATGTAAGCCACTATTTTTTCCCGTTCCTTTCTAGAAATTAAAGCAGAATAATTTAACAATATAAAAAAAGCTGAAAAGCGTCAACACTGCTTATATTTATAAGGCAAAAAAAATGGAATATAAGCATAGATTAGTATTTCAATCGTTAAATTTAAGCATTTGCATTCTTAAATTTTGAATATAAATTAAACTCAGAAATTTTGTTTATTTTACATGGATTATTAAAAATAAAAGAATTTTTTTCGTAAAATTTATGTGAATCGGAAACCAATGAAATTGTTTATCATTTAACTCAGGATTTAACTGTCATTTGTAAAAATTAAGTTTAGTGACTTTAGAAACTAGCAGGTAAGTGTGTGATGGGAAGATTTTGCTTGTATGTTATCCTTTATATATATATCCATTTTATCGACATTTTTGAAAAGTTAAGTATTGGAGTCGCTTATGGCACAAATGGTCATGGTCATTGCAACTTGCAACCAATTATTCAAGATATATACTAAAAATATGGATCCGTAATAAAATTAAAAAAAAAAATGAAATTATTTTATAAGTTAAAAAAAACAAAAAATGTCATTTAGTGGGTCTCAACTTTTGATATAATCACAAATTATATAATTATTTTAGAACACATTCAAAAACTGTCATTAAAATTTTCACATACCACAATAGTCGGTGAAATTTTTTAACAGGTTGTTAGGGCGAGACCTGAATTTGGTGCAATGAATTGTAAGAGCGAATTTAAGAAGGAAGGTGTTTAAGAAAATAATGTGGATATTATTTTTTTATTAACATTTTTAACCTGAGAATATTTACAAATTTAATTGCTACTGTAAACAACTTAGGACAATATCTATAAGAATTCAATTACATACACCTAATAAATGGTTATGTTAAAAATATTATTGACATGAAGTTATGGTTCACTATGTAACATACAAAAGGCCATTTTCACAAACAAATTTTGGAGGTACACTAATGCATCATCGTTACTCTTTTGATATTGTAATATGTATAATTTATACACAAATTCGGATCTCTATGATATAGAAAAGGCAGTATTAATATCTACACTACATGTAAGATTTTGAAACAAAAGCAAATCAAATATAAATATATTGCTTTTTTGCCAAGTTTGGAAAACCTAAATATTTGAATATTTTCAAAATATCTTTATCACAAAAACTTAAAATATAAAAATCACCTTGTTTACTTACACACCTAAAGGAACGTTAAATGAAATCATTGAAGAAAAATTTTATTTAGGAAGTGCCTCTGGCGTCAGTGCAATAGTAATTTTTATTAGTTTCTTAACCCTTAAGAAAATTTAAAAATAACCGAATATTCATATACCTTTATTGAATTTTTGTGGCATATAAAACATACAGTAAAGAGTTTATTTTTCTTATTTTCCAAAATTTGTTAGTTTTAGAGATTGAAACTCATGCATACTATTTTTAAATTAATGAAATTGAGATATTACAAATATAAATATGTATTCTCGATTAGGTATCTAAAAACTGTGTTCTTTAATTCATTATTTTGATGTGATAGGTTCCACCAATTGTATTATTAACGGTCTGTTTAAAAAATTGTAATAGCTAACTGGCCAAACAATTGAATTGTACTTATTTTTTCTGATATACATATCGCACCTTCAATACAAGACTATCCTAACTTAACAAACAGTAAACTGAGATAATGACAGTTAATGTTTTGTTACAAAATAAAAAAAAGTAGGAAATATAAAAATCATTTGCTACAATTTCAATTTAAAATATATAACTCTCGATTATATGTTTATTAATGTTGAAAAGTAGATTTAAGATAATAAAATATAAAACAAATGTTTTTTGTAATAAGTTGATAAAATAGAGATTTTGGAACTAAAGTTTGAGGGGTACTAATCCAAAAAAGACATTTTTTGAGATATCGTGGTCTTGTACTGAAGGTGCATTATAAAATAATTGCACTGATCCCACTGAATTTCAAAAATAAAGTTAGTTTTTTAGTTTAGTTTTAAGAAGCTATTTTTTCTGTACTTCCACAATAGATTCTATAAAGCATCTATATTTCTAGAAAAAATTGATTTAAATTAGTACTGGATGTTTTTGAAATAAATGTCTTTCTTCAAAGTGTAAATAGAACAGCCTATTTAAGTAAGATGTTTGATATGAATGTGGGGCGTAGTTTGCTTATTTTTGAGACACGGGGTACTGAAATTAGAAAAAAAATATGTTTTCTGAAATATTTCTGAGGATGTTTGATGAAACTTGGGTCAGTGGAAGTTGGTTTAAAAATATGTTAATTTGTGGTGGAGATACAAGGGTTGGTACCACTAGGAGCTTTAGAATATCAAGTACAATGATTGTATTGCGTAAATTCAATTAGTACTTTTTATTATCAATTGAATTTCTAAGGAAAATGATCTTTTGTACATTGTTCAAAGAACGAGCTATTTTATAGTAGGTACTGATTTTTTTATATTTAAAGTAAGCCTTTTTAAGAAAATATTAATGTTATTAGAATCAGCTCAAATTCATTCAAATAAAGAAAAAAGTGAGCTTACAATGCAGTCAAGAAAATTAAAAATAACTATTCCACAAAAACAATTTGTGGTTAAAAATACACATTTAAATACAACCCAATGTGTCGAAAGTTTTCACACATTACATTGTATTTCTAACAAAAAATTCTCATAAACTGTTTTAGTTATTTTAAATAGTTTAAATGGTTCATTTTTCGAACAAAATGTATTCGATCTTTTCCCTGAAAAATTCAATTGGTAACGAGAAGCACTATTTGAATTTGTATACTTTGGAGGCTAAATTCTGAGGCTCCTAGTAGTACCAGGCCCTTATATTTCCGTCACTGGTTGACATATTTGTATGTCAATTCGGATTTTTACTTCTACTTAGATAAAGCATGTAGAGACTAGTTTCATCAGTCTGCAATAAACATCTACAGAAAAATTTTAGAAAATGTGATATTATCCCTCTGTATCTCAAAAACAAAGGGAACGACAATCAACATTCTATGAAACTTTTTGCTTGAAATAATTTATTCTATTACCTCTTTGAACGAATGCATTTATTTAAAAAACACACTGTATATTGGCCCTATATTTTTGGAGACTCCCTATATGGACATATGCATTTATATTAAAAATTTACTATACTTGTCATCGCAATTTTTCTGCCATACATTTGTAATGTCCCTTCACAATTAAATATCTCAGAAAGTAGGTATTATTCCACAAAAAGGATTTAAATTTGAATGCTAACCTGTTGTTATTTACATACTGATTTTATTTAGAAAACAAATAAAAAACTATTTACAAATATTTTCAAAAATGTGTAATTGTTACTTTACATAGAAACTACATTATTAAATTTTGGCAACACATTTTGTTGAAATGCCATGCTTTTTAAATACTAGGACGGCGAATTAGTTTTGAGGGATATCCAATAGATGGCGTAACTTATGCTATATCGCATTGGACACTGTGATTATATTCATGTCAAAGCTCTGTCATTAGGCTTTACTTTTTATTGTCACTTTGCTGAAGTGTTAACAATAAATATTTTTTCAGCTCCGAAGACGTCGAATTACGAGCCAACAAAACACCATTTGTGGGAAGTTTTATTTTTCCTGTTTAATTAAAAGAAAAGTCATGGAGTGCTGTTGGAAACTTACGGTCAACATACTCCATCAATAAAAACGTACGAGTATTGGTTTCAACATTTTAGAAGTGGTGATTTTCATACAGTTGACAACCGAAAAAGTTCAAAGATGAGGAATTGGAAGTATTACTCGACCAAGATTCATGCCAAATGCAAGATAAACTTGCTCAAACGTTGAATGTTGATCGCACAATAGTTTCCATATGTTTAAATGCACTCGGTATGATTCAAAAGCAAGGAAATTGAGTGCCATACGAATTGAAACTGAGAGATGTTGAATGGCGATTTTCCACATTCCGAACAATTTCTTCAATGGCAAAAAAGAAAGGTTTTTTTGCATCGCATCGTCACTGGCGATGAAAATTCGAGAATCTATGATAATCCTAGAGGGTAGAAAATCGTGGCGTTTGCCATGCATCAACAGTGACAGTAAGACCGAATATTCAATGTTCCAAGCTCATGCTCTGTACTTTGGTGTTGTGTATCAGCTTGGTGTTGTGTACTATGAGCTGCTTCAACAGAATGAAACCATCACTGGTGAACTTTACCAAATGCAATAGATGCGTTTGCCATACATTGAAGGAAAAATGGCCACAATTCGAGCAAAGGCACGATAAAGTAATTTTTCAACATGACAATGCTTAACCACATGTTACTCATGAAGTCAAAAAATACTGACACGCTGAAATGGGATGTTTTATCCCACCCGCCGTATGCTCCATTGGATTACTACTTGTTCCGATCCAGGGAACACAGCCTGGCTAAGCAGCACTTCCAATCTTAAGAAGATACGAAAAATTGGATCGATTGGTAGATATCATCAAAAGATGAGTTATTCTGTCGACACGGAATACTGTCAGAAAGATGGGAAAGTAGTGGCTAGGAATGGACAATACTTTGAAAAACAATAACATACACAATTTTTATTAAAATTAATTTGCAGTCCTAGTAATATGTAGTTTTATTATCTCTAGGACACTTCTGTATCTTTATTTTTTGAGATCCTTTAATATAAAAATATATTTTAAATTATTAGTACACTCACATTTAAATGGCTTCAAATTGCAGGAAAAATATAAATAGTATTAAAAAAATCATTTAGACCAACTAAACTTATTGAGATATTAATAAATAAATAAAAATAAATAAGATTTTTATTAAAAAGAAAAAACAATTCAGCATTACGTGTTACCCTTAAATATGAAGTAATGTACACTAACACAATCATCTTTTCTAAAAAATTACTTTCATTAAATCACTTGCATACAAAATGCTACTATTAACAATGTTTAGGTAAAAAAGTTTCAATTACTTAATTTTTATAACTGGTATATAAAGTACTTCTATCAACTAAGAATAGAATAAAAAGACAGACGTTGGTTCATATTTACATTCATTAAAATACTATTCAGTCTTCAACTACAAATTAACTTAAATAAATAAAAAGCTTATTTTATAATAAAAATATACAAATTTAATTTATAGTTGGAAATACATTGATAGTATTCGACACAATACATATTTACAGAAATTCTTTTACACATATAAAAGATGTTATTTCAATTCTATGACAATATTAGTTTTGTGAAAAATTATATACATAAATCCTCAATATTAAAAAAAATTATGAACGAGATAAATGTGCTGCTGTAATTATCAGTGATTTAGGTGATTAAATCAGCCTGAACATTTTTATATTTTTTAAGAATGATTGGACAGTGTTTATAATATTAGCTACCCCAAACAAAAATCTTAGTTTGAGTGTCACTAGTTGGGGATATCTTACAAATAATTATGTAAAATTGATAAAAATTATAGAGCAGATTTCAGATATTCCTTAAAGAATTAATTTCGTAACAATTATGTTATAACTGTAATTATAATAAATATTTCATTGTGACTATTTGAGACTGATATGCTGAAATTTAGATATTCCGAGAGCCAAATTAACACAGTGTATGAATTAGCATATTTTTTATGTTCCTTGAATAAATCACTGTTAATATCTGTGCCTACTATTGAATATGATTTCATGTTTATACAAGTTACAGATCCATGTTTTGATGTATAATTTGTATTGTGAATAATAATTACATTTAACCAATATTAAGTTGCCCTTTTTTTAAAACAATGGGAAACAATATTCAGCAATATAAAAATTTTTAAATTGATACTGAGGAAAAAATTAGTGAAAATACCAGTGTAGAAAAACCAATGCACATATTGCAGTATTCTTATAAAAAATTGTTAATTTGACTTTCACCTTTTAAAATGTATATGCAAAGTGGTACAAAAAAAATACACTGAATTAAAATGAAATAAAAATTTAATTTTGTAGTGTGGCCCACTAAGAACCAGGATACCTATTCAAAATTTTTTTGCGACTTGTGATTCTGAAGACTTCTGAAACAGAAACCTTGTGAATTTAATCTTTTGAATTTGTATAAACATTCGCCATTATTGGAGTTTCAAGTGATGCTGAGCCTGAGTTCCTATCTTTCTAATATACAGGGTGTTTCATAATGAATGAATGAATGAAAATATTATATAAATAATTTTAGGGGGGATACTTCTAATACATTTTTTCGATTGGAGTCCCCCCTACCCCTGCAAAAACAGTCAAATCTCAAAATGGCCGAAAAAAATTAGCTTTAATTTTTTTTTATTTAATTTTTAGTTAGTATTTGCTTAGCTTTTCCTATTGATAAAAAAAGAATTTTTGCAAAAATCATGTCAAGAATGACGATCATTTTTGGTAACTGTTATACTAATTATGTGTGCCTAATCGGCAAGGAAAAATAATAAATTTTTTTACTGGTAAACCATTAAGTATACGAAAAAATGGGAAGAGTAGAAAAAGTTTCTAAATGAAATGTAGTATTAAAAGCTGCTTTTCTTGTTGGAATTGACTAACATAGAAAAAAGTTGTGAGGGAAATAAAACCAAGGGGTGCTATTTTCTTTCATTTAAAGACATAAACTAAAAAAAAAATACTACCAAAAAATACCATTCAACTAGTTGTTAACGTATACCTAAATTCAAATTTCTAAGTTTAACTGTTAGTGAAAAAAAAAAATAAAAAGCTAATTTTTTCGGTCATTCTGAAATTTTAATATTTTCTCAGAGGGGGGGGACTCAAATAAAAAAAATATATAGGAAGTACCCCCCTAAAATTACTATCTAAACACCTTCTTAAAATATTTGCACATCATTATGAAACACCGTGTATATTTAAATTTTCAATTTTTTTTTTCTCGGTATTACCAACATTCACTGAATTAATAAAAATTATATTGCTGAATATATAATTACTTTTGGAGATGGGTATCATTACTATGGATTGAAGTGTGAAGAAAAAACGTTTCATTTCCAAAAAAAATTGATATTTCAGGATTTTTCTTAAAAATCAATAATACTTTTGAAAAAGGCAATAATCCACCTTTAATTTCATATATTTTCTTAAATCTTTGTGCTGAGCCCACTTAATGTTTTAAGATCATAATATGTGTTTAAGCTTACCGTTGTTTTGATACGAATATCTGAAATCCTCTCTGAATGATTTGTCGTGACTACAAAATATACATTTTCTAACTACAACTTGGACCATGATATAAAAATAATTAAGCCTTTATAAAACTTAAAAGGGAATATTAACCTAATATGCAGGTTTCATTCGTTTTGTTATAAAACATAATTCTAATTTTATTACACCCATTACAACAACCTAAAAACAGATCACTTCTTTAAATCTTTAGTTATTTCCACAATAACTTTTGAATAAGTTGAGCTAATAGGATAACAAATGTGTAACAGATATAATCTAGTTTCTCTAATAAATTTCCCATTTATATACTTCTCACTGTATTGGCGTATCAAAAAGTAAAATTTGAAGTTACTTGATTACTAGTTTTAGTCGGCTCAGATTTATGATATTATTTTTGATGTTCAAATCCATCATGTAAAATAAAAAATTGGAATATATATTGAAATATTACAAAAAGTGTCATAATATTTTTAAATAATTTAAGAGAAGTTTGTACAGGTGTGTCCCAATACAGATTTTTGCTTGGTGGATTTCAGAAACTTATAACTGAAAGCTCTTCCACAAAAATCATTGCAAAGTATAACCATTTTCAGTAGTTTCTCTTTGAATTCATCTAATTTAATAATCTTCAAATAGTAATTACTAGTGATGGGACAACTCGAATGAAAAATTGAGTACTATCCGATTCTTAAAAGTATATGCTGTCGTCCGATATTTTTAGTTCTCGATAGTTAGGTTATCTAGTAAATATCATGCAAGATGTTCTCAAGTGCGTGAAATATTTGAATGAATTTAAATCAACTGATTTAGCATATCCAATGGTTTGGAAGAATTTGAATACCTTTCATTCTCGGTGGTTATGAAATAGCATTGAACAAACGGTTGATGATTTATCATTTTAGAAATATTTATTGGAAACAAAAGAATATAATTATTGAAATAATAAAATTCTCTAGAAAATGTATTTAAAATGCAGCAAATTTAATTCATTCTGCACAAAACTATAAAATAAAAAAGTACTGCGATTATAACGTTCTTTATTCAACTTTCAATTTTTAATTTTCAGTATTTGGATAATCATTCGATTCTTAAAAATACTAGATTCGGCCGTTACTAGTAATTACATAGTTTCAAATTCGATGGCTACATTTACAGGGAGAAATCCGCAAATAATTTTTTTTTTAATTGTGTTTCTAAAAATGGTTTCAAAGCTATTTAGAAAGTAAGTAGTTTTTAAAGCATATAAAGCTGTATTTTGTTTTTGTTATTAGATAAATTCAATTTTTTATAAAAATTTGCATTGAAAATGTCGTTGAAGATGAAAATAATTAAGAAAACAGAAAAAAAAGCAAGAAATAAAACACTTTAATAGAAGCTTTTAGCCATGTGGTAACACAAGAATTGAAGTTGTAAGGTCACATGAAAAAAATAAGCATGTTTGCTTAAGTTGTGACACCTATGCACAAGTATTAGCATACCAAATTTCACTTTAATCGGGTAAAACATTTTAGCAATTTCGTAAAAACTTTTAGCAGCTAAATGACACAACTATGAATAGAGACAAGTTTAGTCCTTATTTTGACTTCAACAATTTGTCATAGTTACATGAAAACTGAATATTGGGACATTCCGTATATACACAACCCTTACAAATATAAAAAACATACATCAAGTTTTCAAATGCATTAGCAAATAATACAAAAAATTGAGATTTTTTCTGTAATATTATTTTAGACAAATTTAATTAACCTATTAAATAGTGTTGTTTATTTTTCACATTTTGTATTCTAGGCTAAAGATTGCAGTGATGAAGTGACGCTACAATATGAATTTGAATGTTTATACAGATGGGAAACAGAAAATTTATTTTTGAGCTTTAACAAAAATTAAAAGTGAGGAGCAGTTTATTTAGGATTAATAGTTATAATTCATCTACAGAGGTAATTTTTTTTTTGGTATCAATTAACCTGCATATATTTTCTAAAAAGTTATAATTACACCATATTTAAACTAATTATTAAAAAAATGCTTTGGTTCATACAGTAGAATAATTTTCATAAAAAATTAAAATATAAAATATCACTGGACTTCACTTCAATTTCAAATAATATAATCGTTTGTTTTAATAGTTTTCTTTAACATACATCATTACACTGAAATTAATTTACTGAACATATGAAGCCTTTTATAAACTTTCGTTGTGTTTCTATTTTTCGATAAGAATTACCTGTATATTTACATGTCTAATAAAGTTCTGCTATTATAGAATATTGTATGTTTCAGTAAAATACTACTTATGTATTGTATGTTTCTGTACTGCAATTTTAGCTCGATTTATAATGTCCTAATGTTTAAAAATGAAGGCTTTGTCCCAAACGTTACAGACACCTGCTACGTTTGGGAAATTCAAATTGACATTCAGACTAAACATTTAAGAAGAATTAATTCCAATTTATAATAAATCATTGTGATACAGTTAAAGCCCAACTCATACTTAATTATTTATTTTATTGACTCGATTACTCGTCATGGATATGTACTTATTTGAGCCGATTCCAAAGGAAAACCATTAAAACATTTGGATATAGAAAACTTAAATGTGCAAACACTTACTTTTATATACCAGTTAAGGATAGAAATAATGAGTCATTGTACTGTAAAGGTGACTTTTTCTGTAGCAACCTACTAAGAATGTGAATGTGGTTCGACAGGCAAGAGGTATGAAGATGTTTGAGTGACCATGCTGTCCCCGCAAGGCGTATAGCCGTTGTGAAACATTTCAGGTATTTGTACCAATGATTCTGCTAGTGCATGCTCATCTAGGAGGGAATCTAACAATCCTTGGGATTGACTTAACTTTTCTAAGGATTTCACATCATTGTCTACTTCTGCCAGGGCTTTTTCTAGCTCTTCAGCTTCTTCCCGAGATGGTTCATATTCACCATTCCGATTTACTAAAAATGATACTTGATTCAATATACACATAAAATTTTATTATTTATTACTAAGTGTTGTGTTTCTAATTCAGATATTCTGCATAAAAAATACCGTGGTCAAATATTCGAAAAATATTATTAAAAGACTGTTAGAACTGTAATAGACTATTGAATAGAGGATTTTAAAAAGAACTATGATGTTCAAGATATTTTATTACATTAATGGTTCTAATGGTCATTTTAGATGAAAAAACCGCGGAGTGCTGTTAAATTAGAGGGTGGAAATTGGAGATAGGGGTGAAAATGCACCCCTTTGTTTTTTTTAATTGTAGCTCGAAAACGAGGCAAAATTTCGCTATAATTCACATGAAAAATTTTTTAGAGAATTGAATTTCCCATGGAAATAGCTTATTTAAAAAGTTTAAAAGGAAAATTTTATGCAAAAAAATCGTTAATAAACAATTTTAAAGAAAGCAAAAAATAAGATTTTTTGATTTTTTTTACTTTTTTAATAAAGTAAAGTAAAAACTTGAGAATTTAAGTACAATAAAGTTTATTAATAATGTATATACAGTGTGTCCATGGATGGAGTTGACAAGAGGAAAAACTCTTGTTTTTGACTTTATCGAAAAATGTCAACTTTATAAAAAGTTCTGCTCCTCGAAAAAATTAGACTGTCATACAAATATCTTAGATTAGATGTACAGGGTGCTCATAAATTAAAAAAAAACACAAAAATACTCAAGAGAGAAGTACCATTATTTATTATTTTACAAAACATTTTTATGAAACAAATCTGTTTATAGCCTCAAATAATGTCCAAATTTTAAAATCAAAATTTCAATTCTGACTTTTACTCAAGATGTATGGCTACTTCCCACCTCAAAAATTGAAATTTTGATTTGAAAATTTGTATTAGGACTTTCCTTCCTTTTTGCAAAAAATGAGAATTAAAATGTATAAGGGTAAACCAGACCTTAATAACCAGACCACTTATGTATATTATTAATAATTCCTTAAAGTATGGTATGTTTCCTGACCAATTAAAATTAGCTGTAATAACTCCAGTGTATAAAAAGGGTGATCCTAAAAATATGTTAAATTATAGGCCTATAAGTTTATTGTCAGCCTTTGCTAAATTATTTGAATTAATAGTTTATTCCAGAATAATGAACCATATGTCATCTGCTCAGTTATTCTCTGAAACCCAACATGGTTTTTTAAAGGGCAGGTCTACGAGTACAGCCATTTATCATTTTAATTATAAAATTGTACAGTGCTTTGAAAATAATGATGTGCCTCTGGGGCTTTTCCTTGACTTGTCACGGGCATATGATTGTGTAGACCATACTATATTGATAAATAAGTTCAAACAATATGGGATCCGTGGCAGTCTTCTGGATTGGCTTCGGTCATATTTAACGAATCGTAGACAAAAGGTCACTATTACTAAAAGTGGGATAACCTGCTCTTCGATGTATGTACCAATTACAACTGGGGTTCCTCAGGGGAGTATCCTGGGACCGCTCTTGTTTCTGATTTTTGTAAATGATTTGCCACTACACATTGACGGCACAAAGGGTTATTGTGTCCAGTATGCTGATGATACAACCGTTCTTATTTGTGGGTCAAATTTTAGTGATATACGAGAAAAAATTGTATTTGTTTACAATAGAATACTTGATTGGTGCAGTAAAAATAAATTAGTTGTAAATCAGGATAAGACAAAAGTTATGTTATTTAAAACAAGACAGAGCAGCTATATATCTCCGGACAGTTTCAAATTAAGTAACACTATGAGCTGCAAAGTGGAAGAAAATATGAAGTTTCTTGGAATACACTTAGATGACACACTTAGTTGGTCCTTTCATATCGAGTGCATTGAAAAAAGGTTGAATAGTGTATGCTATAGTATTAGGGTGTTGACTAAGTATTTGGATCTCAAAACCCTCAAAGTGATTTATTATGCAAATTTTGAGTTTGTATTCCGATATGGAATAATTTTCTTTGGTCAAAGTATCCACATAAATAGGTTGTTCATTTCTCAAAAAAGAACTTTGAGGTGTTTGTTGAGGCTCGCACAAAGTGTGTCTTGCCGTGGAAGATTTAGGTCAAATGGTTTATTAACAGTTTTTGCCGTATATATCCAAGAAATTTTACTTTTCACTTTTAAAAATAAGAATTTATTTAGGGAATGTTTTCAAACTAACTTTTACAACACTAGAAATACAAATTTAATCTTTCCCATACATCATTTAACATTAACTGAGAAGAATGTTCATTATACTTGCATAAAATTCTATAATAAACTCCCTCAAGAGGTGAAAAATATCCAGAGTTTATCCCAGTACAAAAAATATATACACAAAATGCTATTAAATTTGGAACCATACAGTTTAAATGAATATTTACAAAATTAATGTTTTGCTTTAACAGTAATGTATCATTGATCATCCATCTATGTTTTCTTTGTTTTGTTATTGTTATATTTTGACTACTATTTCATCTGATGGTATAAACTACACTACTGTTTTGCACATTGCACTGCTATTTTGAAATAAAGTTGTGTTATTATTATTATTATTATTATTATTATTATTAAACGCGACAAAAATCGAAAAATTAGTTAAGTTTGAGCAGCCATATATCGGTCAATTTTCATCCAAAAATACTTTACAACCTATTGTTTTGAAGGAAATTTTATCTTCTTTTTTTTCTATGAAGCATTGCCTATACCTATCTTTACTCCAAAAAAAAATCCAAAAAGGCAAAAAAGTAAAAAAAAATCAGAAAATCGAATTCTTTGCTTTTCTTCCAATTGTTTAACAATTTTTTTGCATAAAATTTTCGTTTTAAACTTTTTAAATAAGCTACTTCCATGGGAAATTCAATTCTGTAATTTTGCTTCGTTTTCGAACTACAATTGAAAAACTGAAAGGGGTGCATTTTCACCCCTATTTCCAATTTCCACCCTCTAATTTAATAGAATTCCGCGGCTTTTTCATCTAAAAAGACCCTTTGAACGATTCATCCAATAAAATTGCTTGAACGTCATAGTTCCTTTTAACCCTGTTTTTTTGGATATATTCAATAGCTTATAATGGGAGACAATGTGGATATCGTAAACTACTAAAGATACGAAGTGGTTCAAATTACAAAACGTTTGTGCAATATTTTGCCAAAAAATTTGATATATTTTCACTATTTTTTGTATGGTCAGATGAAGAAAGACTTGAATCCAATGATGTTACACTTTCATGACAGAATGACCACAAAATTAATTTAAATAGCGTTTTCGTTTCAGGGCAATGTTCAGTATAACAAAATTGTTTCGTTATTTATTTTGGTGTGAAATGGAAATTAACTAATTTCTGTCATAGATTCCATATTTCTTTTTAATTTAATCATACAAAAAATAAACTTGGTCTATAACTAAAAATAATGGTTGATTGATAAAATGGAAATAATGAAATTTTCATATTTCAGAAAGTAGTTCAACTACTACGGATCTAGGTTGGGAAAAAATTCCTACAAAATTTTGTGCAACATTTTTATTTGAGCCACCTTGCTCTGTCATCTTTAATTATAATGGTTACTCTAAACTCCTTAACTCAGTATCAAAAATTGATGGTAAAGGGCAGTCCCGTCTCAAGTGAGACTCTTATTGTGTTCGTTATTTTTCAAGTTCGCTTCCTGTCCCATAGGAACAGATTAGCGAGGTTTTGTTCCACTTAAATTGCGAAAATAATTGAAAATCGAATTATAGGGGTTTATTCCTTTTTTTTATGAACTACCTTATATATTTTTTTAAAAATATATAAGGTAGTTATATATTTTTTTCTGGTTGAATAAAATGCTTTCTTAGGATTACAATAATGATTTAGTCTATAATGGAAAAGAATATATTGCCAATAAATAAGCAGACAAAGTGTTTACAAACTTGGAAATTTGTTTTTAATGAAATATAAGTTTTGATAAAAGAAGCCACTAAAATTTACTTTCATAGCCGAAACAAATATTTCTTAATAATACACATACAGTTTCACAGTAAGTTATTTAAATTTAGCAGAGTTATTTTATATTCAGGACAGGGTTCATAGTTCAAAGGTAACATAGAATTGGTTGACTTTTCCTAAATAAAAAAAAAATCCAGTATTTTTACATACTAATTGATGTTTATGCATTAAACTAAAAGTCTGGGCTTTATAATCTTTTTTATACTCAAAGAACCTCTTATAAAGGTTTTAAGACCACAAACAGTTTTCTCTTTTAAGAACCCAGGGTTGGCTTTCACAAAATTTTCAGTTGTACCATCAAATTCCCTGATATTCATGAATACTTTTAAAATTTCCCTGTTTTTTTTATGAAGAATAATGAATTTCCTGACTTTTTCCAGTATTCCCAGTTTTCTAGGCCTCTACGAACCCTACAGAACAACTGTTGACATTGGTTATGGTTTTAAGAAAAGTTAGGCCATCCATGGCTAGGGGGCAATGTGGTCAATACCCTCATATCTAAGAAAGCATGCCTCAAAAAGAGGCAATTTGGCACTTAAACGACTATAATGTGGTAATAAATAATAATAATAAATGCATAATTTGTCATATCTGATTGAGTCAATCGCAATGCAATGCCCCGTGATTCACGATCGCAATGCCCCGTGATTCACGACGGCCTACAAACATCAAAATTTGTGGGCTAGTGGCAGCCTTTACTTTGACTTATCTGATAGCGTAGCTTATAAAACCGCTGACTAAGCAAAACAGCTTGTTGCCATTCGGCTTTTTTTTGTTTCGACAGTTCATCTACTACTTGCATTAAAAAATGGTTGTTTAGTAACTGTCACTGATTGAGCATTTAAAAATGTCTTGTGTTTTGGTATTAGTCTATTATGTAGAACATATTGATCTACATCAATTCATCCTATGATGAATGTTGACAAAATATTGCTGCCACAGATGTTCGCAAATCGTTTTTGACTTCCCCTTGCATCGGATGTTGCTAGATTTATAACACCT